TTTTTGAGAAAATTACACGGATTTTTTAAAAACATTTTCAAAGGAGCCTCGATTTTTAAAGGACTTAGATGCTTCGATTATTTAAAGGATTATTATTGGCGTGGATTTTTGTTAGATGATAATTTTGCAAGAACCATGCATTTTTTGAAGAATATTTTTAAGGACCAACAAATGAGTCGAGCTTTAAAAGTAGATATATGTTTTTGTAGATATATGTTTTTATACCCTACACAACTATGTTGTCAGGGTATTATAGCTTTTCAAAAGTTATATAAATGATCGTCATATCTCGACTAAAAAATGTGTGTTTCCGTCTGTCCATTATTTTGTAAACACGATACAGGCCACAGTTATGGACCAATCTTCAGAAATTTTGCATGTATGATTTCTGGCCAATGGGACCCTATTGGGGATTTAGGGGATTGGACCAAATACTAAATTTTTGTCCATTTTCAGAGGGAGTGGCCCGATTATTGAAATTTTCCATGGGGAATTGGCAAAGAATAAGCATGCCTGTTTTGATAGTGATCGGTCAATATTTAGCTGGTCAAATGGACCCTGACTTTTGTGTGAAAAATGACAAAATTTGTATTCTATAGCATATATATTTACCCCTGAAGGACATAGACCCGGAAAGTTTATATTGCCCAGGCTCGGAATATACATCCGCAGAAAATTTGAGTTCCGTGGTAGTTGTGTAGGGTATGTTTTTTACTGCTCCGCTCACTGGGTTAAAAATAGTTTTTAGAAGAAAATTTTGGAGGTGTGGATTTTTTTTAAGAATATCTTTTCAAGGACTATTAGAAGCTAGCATTTTTAAAGAAGTATGTTATTAAATATCTAGTGGCTGTTTTCAAAAGGACTATCAAATTCATTGATATGCTTTAGAAAACATAATTTTAGGACCCAAACTTTGCAGAATATTTTTGAAAGGATTTTTGTGGAATATTTCAAAAGACTTATCCCCCTGGATTTGTAAAAGGACTTCTGCATTTGTGCAGGACTATTATTGGTTTTTATTTAAAGGTACATTTTCAAGGACCAACAGGGACGCGGATATTATATTAGAAAATGTTTTTCTGAACCAATGGAACCATGGAATTTAAGAGAAAAATATTCGAAGTGTGGATTTCTAAAGAAAGTAGGCTCCTGGATTTGTTAAAGGACATAGAGGTCGCATTTTGAAGGACTAATATTATTGTGGATTTTTATTAAAGGACACATGTTCAAGGACCAAAAGGGACGCGGATTTTATATTGGAAACATTTTTTCTGAACCAATAGAAGCGTGGAACTTTAATAAGACTGTTAGAAGTGTGGATTTCCAAAGAATATCCTTTAAAAGGCTATTAGAGTTGTGGTTTTTATACCCTCCACCATAAGGTGCAGCGTATATTAAATTTGTCACTCTGCAACACTTCGAAATATTCACCGGAGACCCCATAAAGTTCATATATTATTGATAGCAATAAAATTATATGTCGATTTATGCATGTCCGTCTGTCCAAGTCACGATAGAGGCGCAATATTTAAGATAGAGCTCGGAAAATTTGTACAGACATTGCTATTCCTCCTAGAATGTTCGGTATTGTAAATGGAATATATCAGCCCACGTTTTGATGTAGCCCCCCACAGAGCGGTATCCCCAAATATTTGATATTTAGGGAATTTTGGACATGTTTTTCATGCCTGTAATTTTTTGATTTTCGGTTCTCATGCTATAAAAAATATTTTTTCAAGGACCTAAATAAGGCGTGGATTTTTCAAAGAGCGTTCACGGACCTAAATAAGCCTGGATTTTACAAAGAGCGAGGGGCCTAAAAGAGGCCTCTATTTTTCATAGACTGTTTTTCAAGGAACCAAATAAGTCGTGTATTTCTAGAGAATATTTTTAGGGACCCCCCCATTCTCGATTTTAATTTTTCAAGATTTTCAAAGGGCTGGCAAATCAATACAGTGCTCGTTAAGGTTTGTAACTTTGCATATATATATTTGAAGATTTAAAAGAGAAGAAAAATAATTTACAAAAAAATTTTGTTATTGTTTTGTTGTTGTTTTTTGTAATTAAAGAAAAGTCATTAATTTTGATGGCGGGCATGATAACTCCTCACTGCAACATCGGAATCCGAAAATTCCAACGGTGTTAGAAAGAATACATGTCTAGCTCTCGTATGAACTAGGATTATTGACTTCGCTTTAAAATTACCAAAATGGCGGACCTTTAAAAAAATATTTTTGGAAAATCGCCGATTTTTGACCAAAATCCAAGTTAAAAAATAAGGAAGATCTTCACCGATTGGCTTTATCCTAGTTGATACGATAGCTGTACACTCACAGAGAAACGTGTAAAAATTTGAAATCGATTGAGTTATTAGTCATTCGCAAAAGATAAAAACGCATTTAAAGTTTGAGAAGCCCTTCAGCTGTTACTTGATGTTGACACAATAAATCGGCTATATCTTCAAGAGTTCTTGAGATTTTCACTTGAACATTTGTAGGGACATGTTAATATTTAAAGAATACTTCTAGAGAATATATTTAGGGAACTGTTATAAGCGTGACATTTTAAAAAATATTGGTCAGTGGATATTTTCCCGAGGACTGCTAGAGGCGTGGATTTTTGATGAGTTTTAGGAAATTATGGATTTTCTAGAGAATGTTTTCAAAGGATCTGCATAAAGCGTGGATTTTTAAAGAATGTCTTCAAAGGACCTGTATAAAGCGTGTATTTGAAAAGGACCTGCATAAAGCGTGTATTTTAAAAGGACCTAAATAAGGAGTGAATTTTTGAAGAATGTCTTTCAAGGAACTGAATAAGGTGTGGAATGTTTAGAAGGTCGTTTAGAGGGCGGGATATGATATGATCTATTAGAGCTCTAAATTTTTTAGAAGTTCTATTAGAGGCCTGCATTTTTTATAAAATCATAGGTCTGTATTTCATTTAAAAATCTTTCAAAGGAGTGGATTTTGGCCGCATATTAGTCAATTTTTAAAGATATGTTATAGGCTTGTTTTTTAAGAACATTAGAGGAGCGGATTTTAAAGGCCTATTAAAAACTTGAATTTGTTTAAAATGTATATTAGATGGCGGGATAATCCGCATTTTTAAGGCTTAATCGCGTTTTCCAACTAGATGACTGTAAATTGACAATCGGGGTTAAAATCTTGCCTAGAGCATTCGAATATTTTTATGTTTAAATTTTTTAGGGTTATACAATTATATGCAGGAAATGATCCATACAAAAGTCTCGCCTTATTGGCGGAATTTTTAAGATTTTTGCTGCATTGAAGGGGGTGATCAACATCTGTGCAGGTAATTTGTTGATATCGGAAAACTTTTTGGTATATCCTTCACAAATAGTTTCAGCCCCATTTTTGGTAGTTTGAAGATTTTGGGAGTAATTTCTCACCGAAGTGACTGTTATGTGGAATTCCTGAGGTCTTGTAGGTTAAAAAATATATTTGCAGAAAATGTTCAATTACTTCGAAATGGGGCGGAAACTATATGCGAAGGCTATTTTGCCAATTTACAGCCACTTCGGTATATGTGACGTACTTCAAAACATGGACGTATGACCCGATATTTCGATATTAGTTTTTCACTGATGTGGAAGTATCCGGGTCTTGGGAGTATGAAAAAATAGCATTACAATTAAGCAGACTTCCAACCCGAATTTCTGTGACTTGGAACATAATATTGTGTTTTTTTTTAATTTAATAGCAAACAATGCGGCCGACCGATTTACGAATTTTAAATGATAGCCAAATTCAATCGTTTTCGATTGAATGAACTAAATCTGTAAAACATTTTTTCTCAGTGCTTCGTATAGCACTGAGTTTCACGACGTGATAACCTATCATGAACGAAATTGATACGGTGAAAATATGCCTCATCGAAATATTGGTTTTAGACCCCATGTTTTATTTGGACCAAATCCATTTCAGAAAATTTGGAGTCGATTTACACATGTCTGTCTGTCTGGCTGGTCTGCACGATAACTCTCGATGTGAATAATCGAGTTCATTCAAACTTTGGACATCTTAATATTTCTTCCAAACATAGCTTTAATTCGGAAGATGGGGAATATCGGTCCACTACTTCTAGTATCGGTCCACTCCTTCTGGAGGGTCACAATTTTCAATATTTTTAAATCCAATATCAGGCTAATGGAATATCCGATTTGGACCAAACTTTGCACAACATATTATCTTTACTGGGCCTAGATCAAGGAAGGGACCCATCAGTCCACTCACTCTGGTACTCACTCACTCACTGAGGGTCAAAATTGTCAATATTTATAAATCCAGTAACAGGCTAATAGAATGTCCGATTTGGATCAAACTTTGCACAACACTGAGCCTAGATCAAGTAGGAAGATGGGACCCATCGGTCTCACTCACTCTGGTACTCACTCACTCACTGAGGGTCAAAATTGTCAATATTTATAAATCCAATATCAAGCTAATGGAATGTCCGATTTGAACGAAACTTTGCACAACCCATTATCTTTACCAACCCTATATCAATTCGGACCCAGTAGCCCATTCCTTCTGGTACATGCCTCACAAATGGTTAATATTTTATAAAATTTTATTAACATTAAATCCGAAACCTCTTTAATAAAAAGCATTTTTCTTATATAAAGCTAATAATAAAATCTGTTTGTAATTCCGAAAACCTCCGCCCACCATTGGCTGAGGGTATATATCTGTCGGCAGCACCAATTGACACTTTTTTACGTGTTTATGCCCATTTTCTGGCAAACTGATTTATTAAGTCACTATAAACAACACAACACAGTTCGTACATTTAATCGTTCTGAACACGTTAATGTTAAAATGTGTATCGTAGACCTCTTACCTGGTGTAGGTTGTAAAAAAGTCTGGGCATATTTAACGCCTTTTTATTTATTAAAAATAATTTTTTACTTCTTTCCTAATCGAATACACCTTTTTAAAATTATTATTTGCATGATACCCTTTATTAAATTACTTAATTAATTACAATTCTTCAGCCATAAAATCATCAAGAAATCTCTCTAAAGCTGAAATATATTTTTTCATATCTGTAACTCTGGGTAGCTCCTCGCATACCAATGCCTTTTTATTTGTTCGGCAATTGTTATCGTTCCAACGATAATTGAAACGATCTAGATGGACACAATTTTCTTGACCTCGGCCGTTTGGCTCATTCGGTGCCCAGTTAGTGTAATCAAATTCTTCGCCATCATTAATCCATTTGAAGACAAGGCCAGTATCCGTGCTATAGGTACCCAAGGCACCAATCCAATAATACATTTTTCCTAAAAGGGAATATCAAACAATTAAAAACATTATAATGGGTCTGTTCCCGTACCCCAATACAAACATATTATAAGATCTTACCCGTTTTCTTCAAGACTTCCACTAGAGCATTTTGTTTTTCTTCACTCCGTATACTAACCAAACCCAAGCCTCTTGTTGAACATGCAGTTAGGGCCTCAAACCAGTTGTACTATATAATGATAATAGGGAATCTTAGCATAATGTATTTTTAACATACCCTAATATATAGCTTACATTGTCCTCATCGATTACCAAATATTTGCTTCCATCTGATGCATCATACCATTTTTCTTCGCCAAAAACGCATCGTATCGACAAAATAAAGAATACAAAGTATTTTAAATGTTGCGGAGCCAACATCATTTGTATTCGGTACACTATTTGCAATTGATTTTATGAAACAAGTCTATCAAGAATATCAACTAAAAAATAGATCTTATATAGTTAGAATGTAACACAGACGTCATAAGAGCTAATATTTGCTCAAGTGTGTACATGTACAAAATGTCGCAATTTATTTTTTCAAGATTTGCGAATATTGATCTTTATAGTGGATCTAAATGCGGAACATATGACGAAGGTAGGCATGTTCATTATATAAAAACAAGTAACAACATTATAAAGATCGGTCGGGACGAACTCTTTATACCTTCCACTATGAGGTAATAGTTCGGGACTTTCATAAATTATGGGTAGATTTTTGGTTAGGAAGATGTGTCCAAGGTTTCCTAAAATATCAAATAACTCCTCTTATATGGAGGCAATCATAAAATGCAGACAGATGTCGAATGCCAAATTTAATATACAGTCAATTCTTTTTAATTTGATGTGGCCGAATGCAGGGAGTTTGTTTGAATTACCTGAGTTTTTCAATAAAGCAAATTCTTGATCATTGTTATATGTTTCATACTACCGAAGTTCCATAAATCTGTTATTGAAATGCTAGGAATAAATCTAGCTTCTTGAAACATTTGGACATATTTAATGCCTCCTATCAAATCTACAACTGTTCTGGAATTTTAAAAATCATAAATAATTTCTCACGACACGGCCTTTCGATTACCGAGACACACAGGAATAGTAGGTAATGATAAAACCAATCTACTCGCCAGAAATGTTCTCCCCAATATAGACGTGATTAATTCCAAATCTTTTAGCACAACACGAGGGGCACACATGGGGTGATCCAAATGAAAACCAGTAGGGAACGCAGTAAAGTTGGACGGGGCCGACAATATGATACCCTTCACCACTTTGGGTATATCCAACAGAGGGAATCCTAACAGACGTTGCATTTTTGAGGGGCCATTGACATGAAATTACACATGTCATTCTGCAACCTATACTACATTTTGGTCAGATATAGAGTTGCTTCTTACAAAGGGACAAAATTATGTAATTAAATTTAAAGCAAAATATCGAAATGTAAACGGATTTCATCGAAACTTGTCACATGTTAGGTTACAGTTATTTCAGTATGTTTTTTGCATTCGGCCACATTTTGAGTTCTTCATTTACTTACAAATCCAAATTTCGGGCAAAGGGAAGGATATATAGGGACGAAAATATATATAGGAGGACGAAAATATATAACGATGAGTGTTACGAAATTTAACACTCATCGTTCTAGGCTCAAATCAGTACGCTATGCCAAATTTCGTGCAAATCGAAGGATATATAGGGACTTTGGTGCACTATTTACCAAAAATCGGACGAAAATATATATGGGAGCTATATCTAAATCGGAACCGATGTTCACCAAATTTTACACACAACTTTCTAGACTTAATTCAGTACGCTATGCCAAAATTCGTGCAAATCGAAGGATATATAGGAACTTTGGTGCACTATTTACCTAAAATCGTACGAAAAAATATATGGGAGCTATATCTAAATCTGAACCGATTTTTCCCAATTTCATTTCGTCTTTGGGTCAAACAAGTGAACTGTGCCAAATTTCATCCAAATCGGATCACAAATGCGACCTGTACTTTGATAACAAAAATACATGGACGGACATGCATAAATCGACTTAAAAAGTGATTCTATGCATATTCTCAAAAGAAAACATGTCTCTATCTCGTTTCCTTTTGCCTGTTACAAACATATGCACAAAGACATAATACCCTGTACCACAGTGTGGTGAAGGGTATAATTAGACTAAGCAAATCGTAACGCTTACCAAAAAATAAATCTGCTGGCACATTTACATAAGATTTTGTGCAAGGGAATCAGGGAATGACAGCGAAACGCTGCAACATTTCTGATGCCACTACTCGGACTTCGTACACAATTCTTGGGAAATGACATTACCTACGAACTAACCGACCTAAGTGGGTGTTTATGGAAAAGTCTTACGGATTTGGCTAAGAACACAGAATTCCTAGATGTGATGCTTTTCTATGAACTCTCTTCCATTCTAGAGAGCACAAAGGACCTTCCATTGCCTTAAGTGTACAGTAGTTCTGACTTACCTGCACAAATAACACTTGCAATTATTTCTGCGCAGGATAGTCTGTGCAGGAAAGAGCAGATATCTGAAATATCGCCTCAACGTGCACGCAAGTGAAATCGCTGCATTAAAAAGGGAACAGTGTAAAATTTTCTGGAATACGACTAAGTATCGGATAATGAAACAGAAGGATCATTGTTTTTACGTATATATTTATTACATGAAAAACAATAGTCGTCGTGTTTGGTTTTCAAAGTTAATTACTAAAAGGGAATACGTGAAAATTCTGAGCTGTGCTCTTAAACGAAATATTTTAAAGAGAATCTGAGAAAAAATACCAAAGAAGTGTATTTTGGGCAGCTATATTTTTATAATAAGGCTACATATATTTTATGAATTCATATAAAAAATTTATTTATTAATTAAAAAACATAACTGTTCGATAATTACTATCTGTGCGAGGTGCATATTTAACTGAACGGAATCTACGAAACCAAAATTGCATATAATTGGCTGTTACAGTATCGAAACCATAAACACCATTCACAATTTTAGCTACTTGGCTTGCATTTTCGCCTTTGACAAAGAAAAACTGTAAAATGTACCGAATTTTGTTCACTTACATTTTTAACATCCTGTAACTCACAACTGAATGCACCAAACAAAAAACAGCAAAATATTTTTTACTGCGAAATGTCACCCTTTCAACGAGCACAAATCGGAAATTGTTTGATCGATACTTTACGAGAAATCTATCAGCCATCTGCTGAAAAAAATAATGGATTTCTTTTTCTCCAACCTAATATACCTTGCTGAAATCTTCAAGAATACAACAACAAAAATCTTGAAGAATACAGCAACATAGTTGTATTTCTTTAAAGACAAAATTATTCAGAATCGATTTTCACTATTATTTGCAAAACAAAACATTTTTATAAACCCAAAATTTATTAATAAACCAGTGAGCGGAGCAGTATAGTCGGACGGGGCCGACCATGCGATACCCTACACAACTACCACGGAACTTTAACTTTCTGCGGATGTTTATTCCGATCCTGGACAATATTTTGAATATTTACAGATTCTTGCCCGATTAGAGAACACCTCGTCTTACACTGACATATTTTCCGAATATTCGGTACAGATTTTCTAATTACTTATCTAATTCGGTCCATTTCATCCCAAAATTATAGGCGTTGTCCTTGACCATAACTGTAACATCATAGAAAATTTCAAAGCTATATTTTCGCTCTCTAGTGTGGTAATGGTTTACTAAATAATATCGGAATACGTAAGCACCTGTAAATATTAAGGTGTAACTCCCACATCCGAGTACATACAACAATATATTTGGTATCAATTTAAATGTCAAGCACTCCACTTGAATATACTATAAACTTCTCAGGTATATGTCCTTCAGGAGAAAAATTTTGTAATAGAATACAAATTTTGTAATTTTTCACACAAAAGTCAGGGTCTATTTGACCCGCTTAATATTGGCCGATCTTTATTAAAACAGGCATGCTTATTTTTTGGTCCGATCCCCATCTTCATGTTAAATTTCGACCAGAAAACCCAACAAAAATTTAGCATATTTGGCCAGAACCTATCCTACATGCAAAATTTCGTAAAGATTGGTCCTTTACTGTGGCCTGTATCGTGTTTAAAAATGATAATGCACAGACAGACGGTCGGATACACATGTCTAGATCGACTCAGCTAGTCGAGATACGACGATCGGTATACTTTAAGGTGGGTCTAGGACAAATATGTCGCTGCGTTATAAACTCTAGGGGCTGCACAAAGCTATAATACCCTAACAACATAGTTATGTATGGTATAACAATTATAATTATAAAGCGATATAATATATCGAATATAGGGTTATGTGTAACATTACGTCAATTGATCACATAACATGGAAACTTTATATACACATTTGTTAATTACACATTAACTAACTGCAATAATGACAATCGGAACAGGTGTTTTGTTTTTCCAATAATAGTTTCAAACGCTATGTAAACTCGTTGCTTGTGATGTTACAAATTAAGATAATTCTGTATATAAAATCCATATAAATAATTTTATTTTCTAGTTGTATAATTTCCCTTGGATTGCTAAGAAGCGGAAAAAGAAAATGCAAAAATTTCAATATTTTAAATATTTTCTGGTAATTGTATTATCACTTCGAACAGTACTTGCCGAGGTGAAATGGTATACGGCACCAGATGGCAACAAATATATGGTTGATGATGGAAATACGGTAAGAAAGTCATAGAATAAAAGGATTTTTTTACTTTTCAAAAGAAATTTCCCATTTCCATGCCATTGAAATATAACCTACCAACAAATATATATAAAATTTTGATAAAGCTTCTTCAGGATTTATGAAAAAAATATAGTAACTAACGGATTTAAATAACTCAAATCATTTTCCCATATAGTATAATTGGTACGATTCCCTAACTGAATGTGCCAAAAGAGGTCTGACATTGGTGAGCATTACCACGGAAGAGAAAAACGAGGCCTTACTAACAGGCCTAAGACAGCTGAGTACGAAATAATAATATTTGATTTTTTTTTAATAATTCCATATTTCACATTCATTCAAGATATCTATGAATTCTGGCTGGGTGGTGTAGCTACTAATTTTCGTGACCGTGGTGTAGTTTTTAGTTGGATATCTTCGGGTGAAGATTTCGATTATACCTATTGGAGAGATAATGAACCAAATGGCAGGGGTGAAGAAGTATGTATCCATACTACCAGCGATGATTATCGTTGGAATGATCGCGATTGCTTGAATGCTAAATATAATTTACTTTGCGAAGAAATTCCACATGTTAATCAGCTGAAGAAATTCATAACCCTGATGGAAGATTATATTCATGGAATTTTAAGAATATAATTTTTTTATATTCAGACTTGAATTAAAATATAAATAAATTTTAACATGCATGATACTGTTTTTTACTCAGTTTTGTTTTGGACAGACCACTGTTTGATAATTTACTTCGAATGTTTAACTTTAGTGACTTATACACGAAGTTTGATTTGCGAAGAGTGTCCTATCTAGTTTATCTCCACTAAATATATAACGAATAAAAAACTCCATAACGAGTAGAATGTCTAAACATCCTATGAAAGTCCTTATGCAGGAAGGCAATTCGCAAATGTTTAGCAAAGTTCAATTTAAAGATAATTTTTAGATTTGATTTTTATGCCAATGACACTGTCAACAAAGAAAAAAAACACATTTTATAGGATTGTTTGCATTCATAGCAGAGAATAAACAAACATTTTTGTTTTTATAATAAATTTTTGGCAACTGGAAATAAAACAGATAGGGACAACCTTTTTAGAAATTAATCATGAGGGAACTATGCACATGATATCAGAGCGACCAAATAAGCTTGGATTTTTCAAAGAATATTTTTCAAAGCTTTGCAGACCAAATAAGCGTGGATTTTTAAAGAATATTTTTTTGAAGGACTATCAGACCAAATAAGGGTAAATTTGGTAACCAATATTTTTTCAAGGATTATCAGTTCTTAAAAGCCTGGATTTTTTAGACAATATTTATTCAAAAATTATCTGACCAAATAAGTTCGAATTTTTTAAAGAATATCTGTTGAAGGACCAAACAAGCGTAGATTTTTTAAATAATATTTTTTTAAGGACTTTCTGTCCAAATAAGGAGGATTTTTAAAGAATATTTTTTTAACGATTATCTGTCCAAATACCCGGGGATTTTTGAAGAATATTTTGTTCAAGGACGATTAGTCAAAATGACGTAGGGGATGATTTGCACCATGCAACGGATCCGATTGGCATTAACATTGCAAATCCCATTCTTATTATTGGTCCCTCTTTCATCTCAATTGTGGACACTGACCTCCCCGCGGTGTCACCTGGAGTAGCTACTACGATCCGAAATGACCCGAGTCTTACTCGGCCAACGTTAGATTACGACCTGTATTATAGCGGCAATGAAACGAGACATGCATTTGGCTGCGGATTTATGGTTAATAGGTGAATAAAATACCTCGTCTGTAGATTCACTCCAGTACGTGAGTGAATTGCTATAATCTGTATAAAAGTGAAATTCTTCTACATCATTTTCATTTACGCCCATGCTCTGACCGAAGACAAAGATGAGCAGATCAAAGACATATTCTACGAGCTCCTAGAAAAAACATATGACCGCTGACCTGCTAATGACATTTAAATTCTGCTAGGAGATTTTAATGCAAAAATTAGAAGAGCAAATATCTTTGGACTTACCATCGAAAAATTCAGGATCTATGAAGAAACATCCAGCAACGGCATGAGGCTGATTGACTTCCCGGTGGTACTTGTAGTAAGCAGCACCAGATTTAAGCATCTCGATATACACAAGGCCAACTGGCCTTCTCCCGAGAAATCAAATTGATTTTGTTTTGATAGACGGAAGGCATTCATCCAGTGTAGTAGACGTTTGAAAGATTTGAGGAGCGAATATAGATTCGGACCATTACCTTGTAGCAGCCAAGGTTCGCAAAGGTGTGATCTAGTGTAACACGGAAACTCGACGTCGAAAAGCTGCAACTTACCCACCTTCTTGACGAAAGCACTCTTTGTCCTGATAATAATATAGAAGCTCAATGGCAAAGAATTGCCCACTCCCTACAAACTGCTGCAAAATCAACACTTGGTTGCCAAAGACCACCATCAAGAAACCAATGGTACGATCAGGAGTGTTGTAATGCTACTGATGTGAAAAACGCAGCGTATGGGAAAACCCTGCAGACAGTAGCAACACGTAATGAGAGAAAGAATTAGGAGGAGAAATGAAGAGAAAATAAACGTATTTTCAGAAAAAATGAAGAAAGAACAAGAAAAGCGTGAGCAAATCGAGTAAACGAGTAAAACACCGAAGGTTTTGGTGCAGGCACATCCTTTTGTAGAGATGAAGACGGAAACCTGATGACAGATACAGACAGCGTACTGAGGATCTGGAAGTAGCATTTTACAAAGCTTCTGGTATCAAATAGCGTCAGTGCTGATTAGGAGCATGCACCAGCTGATAAGTACAATTTGGCTAGAGGAATTCATGCCCAATGATTGGAACATCAGCATCCTGAGTCGCGTGCACAAAAAAGGAGACAATACGATATGTGCCAACTATAGAGGAATAAGTCTCCTTCCCATCGCATATAAAGTGCTGTGTGAACGACTGAAGCCAATGGTCAATGACATTAGTGGACCACATAAATGCGTATTCAGACCTGTTGAATCCACCATAGGCCAGATTTTCACACTGCGCCAAATCCTGGAAAAGTCTCACGAAAACCACATCGACGCATTCCATCTATTCGTCAACTATAAAACCGTATTCGACATCCCTATTTTGCAGGAATGCCGAACGCAGACATGGCTTGAACGGATGTCTGCGTTCGGCATTCCTGCAAAATTAATAATATTAGGATAACTTTAAGTGGAACAACGTCAGAAGTTACAGTCGGAAAGGACTTTTGACAGTTTGTCGTGGGCCTGTTTAACATTATACTGGAAAAGGTCATACGAGAACAAAAATGACACTATGTACACTAAATAGCGTATGTTACTCGCCTACGCTGATGACATCGACATAATGGATTTAAAGCAGTTACCTTTGAACAAATTAAGAAGGAGTCTGTCAAAGTGAGTCAGACAGTAAATGGCGAGAAGTCCAAGCTGATGCTGTGGGTCAGTTTTGAGATTGTCAAAGATTTCATCTACCTCGACACCGCCCTTAACACAACAACTGTCATCAGTTTTGTGATTCGGAGGGGGAAAGTGTTGGCCAACAGATGCTACTATGGTATAAGTATGAAATTTAGAAAAAGATCATCTCTCACCAGATCAAACTCACCCTCTACAATACACTTATACTGCCCGTGCTGTTTTATTGACACAGTCACTCGTATCGAGCTGCAGGCTGCAGCTAATACTTTGGCCACGATGATGCCCCAGCTCAAAAGGCATATAAATGCGAGCCTGCTAATGGTTCACGCAGGAGGGGAAGGCCAAGAATAAGATGGAAATATCAAGAGGAAGATAACATATCGAAACACGGTCTTTCAATTTGGAAAAACTGAGCACTAGACCGGCACGCCTGGAAATCTTTTCTAAGCTTGATAATGGAACAAATGTTCTGTCTTGAGCAAGGTAAATATGTAAGATTTTTTTGAAGGACTATTAGCCCAAATAAACGTGCATTTTTAAAGACCTATCGGAGTTTTAAGCTGGGATATTTGCAAAATATTGTACATGGGTCTATTAGAGCTATTAGCTGGAAAATTTAAAATATATTTTCCAAAAGTGTATCAGATCAATATTCGTACAACATCAACTATATAAAGATCTATCAGATCTCTTTGCTTGGATTAAAAAAAATAAATTTTTAATTAATATATTTTTTAATAATATTACGTGCTTTGTTATCGTCAGCTGATGTATAAACACCTGTTAATGATATATGACTATAGTCCAACATTTTATCATTTATTTGAAATTAAATCCCAAAATGTTGGCCCCCTTGGATTATGTCTGACAGATCTGTCATAAAATGGAATTCATATATACAATTTATTATCTTTACTTGAAATAAAACAAGCACCCATCACACATTCCTAACAGAGCCTATTGCAGAATCTTTTTCACATGTCGTCATTTTTAATTCTTTGCTCTTGTTGCTGTCCTGCAAAAATTGTTGGTCGGTATTTCATCTTCTAGTCATTTTTCAGTTTTGTTATTTTTTCGCTTTTTCTCTGCTATGCTCCAAAGAATTTCAGTTTGGCAAAGCCATATTTCTTGATATGCTGCTGATAAAACTTACGAACGAACGACACTTGACATTGTCACACCGATGACATACACACGTCCGTATGTCTGTCTACCAGCCAGCCTGTCCGTCCACTTGTCTATCACTCACTCACTCTATTTGTACATGAGTGATGCTTGTGCTAGTGTTGAAGTTTTATAGCCTTGATAGCCCTTTTTCTCTTGTGATGATGATTTGATGGTTTTGCCACTTGACATGTGAGTGAGTGAGAACGCGTGTGAGTGTGTCAGTGATATTTGTATAGCAGTCACGCCAAGACATAAAAAAACGATTGCAAGTGTGCAAATTTTCTTCACTGTTTTTGTGTGGCTACGCGAATAAAACCACCATTTATTATGGTCTTACTCATGGGGAGACATTAAATGTCTTATGGATTGGAGGGTGATGAATTCATAGGCCAGCATGGACGGTATTATGCATATTGTTGACAGATTGATTGCATGACAATTCATTGGTGGTTTTTCGCAGAATTTCTAAGACTTTTGGTCGCGGGAGGATTTTAAAGAATATTTATTGAATTATTAGAAGGGCTATCAGAGCTATAAGCTTGGATTTCTACGGAGTAAATTTTTAAAGAAAATTTTTTAAAGAATATTTTTTCCAACGACCAACACAAGGCGTGGATTTTTTAAAGAATATTTTTTCAACGACCAACACAAGGCGTGGATTTTTTAAAGAATATTTTTTCAACGACCAACACAAGGCGTGGATTTTTTAAAGAATATTTTTTCAACGACCAACACAAGGCGTGGATTTTTTAAAGAATATTTTTTCAACGACCAACACAAGGCGTGGATTTTTTAAAGAATATTTTTTCAACGACCAACACAAGGCGTGGATTTTTTAAAGAATATTTTTTCAACGACCAACACAAGGCGTGGATT